TGAAAAAAAAAATTATTAGAGACACATTCACAATTACATCGAAAATGGTTCTTTTTTTTTTTTTTCCCTTTTTGGGAGGGTGATATATATAGTAATAGTGAAAAGCTAGCTATACATATATAATCATACAAAAATAAACTGTTATTTGAAACTTGAGCCAAAAAAAAAAAAAAAAGAAAAACTATGATTTGAATCTATTTCCATTTCCAGATAATAAGGAAAACAAAAGAAAAGAAAGAGCCAAAAGAAGATCAAAAAGTTGCATTTCTAGGGTTCGGTAATAATAAAACTATTTCACTTCAATGTGGAAACAATATATCAAACAAAAAAAAATTACTATGAATTCTTGACTGAATTTGATGTAGAGAAGTAGAAGACATTAACAATCCCACAAAAATCTCTAACCTTTTAATTTATCTAATCTAACTCTAACTATATAAAAGCCGGCAATGAGTTGTTGCCGCTCCAGTTGACGCATGGCAGGTCGTTCCGTTCCCCGTTTCGCGCCGTTTTTTTATTACTTTTTTACTAATCTAACTCTAACTATATAAAAGCCGGCAATGAGTTGTTGCCGCTCCAGTTGACGCGTGGCAGGTCGTTCCGTTCCCCGTTTCGCGCCGTTTTTTTATTACTTTTTTGACTTTTTTTTTCTTTATAATTCGTGTTTTTCATTGCTGTTTCTTCAACTTCACTAAAGTATTTTCCTTTTCTTCCCTACTTATTTTTACTACAATATCTATATATGTTAGATTTGTGTTTCATTAATTTTATTAATCGTTTTTATACTAAAATAATTTTCTCAAAATACTATCAATCAAATATTTTTCTACTTCTCGTATGTGCACCCTAATTAGTATTCTATTTATTTATTTCTAAATATTTTTATATGTAAAAAAAAACTACTTATGAAATAATTATTCGTAAATATGCCCTTACTTAAACATCTTTTTGTTCTCTATAACTCAAATAAATTTAATATTATTCATCTTAAATAAGATGTCACTTGCATGTAGAGATGTAATTTTATCCGAAAATGTATTTATCCGCGGAAACCCGCCTTAAATAGGTTAGAGAAAATCTGGTTTAAATGGAGACATATTGAAATGGGTTAAAGTTTTAACCTAATGTGAGTCGCAACGCGAAAATAGAATTAAAAATTCTCGACTATATTCCTCATTTACCCACCCCGTTTAATTACATTATATTTTTTCATATAAAATATATTTTTTGTAATATACTATAATATGTAATATTAAGTATGATATATTACATAATATATACATATATGAAAACACACATTTTATACACCTATATTTTTAAATCAAAATTTTTAAATATGGCTCATTAAAAATCATACATCTATTTAATTATTTGTTAATATCTCTTAATATTATATATTTAAAATCAAAATGAATTTCTCTAATAAACTGCTCAACTAACTCACACACGATAATACGATGTGCGGAGCAAGTCCTAAAAACTAGTAACCATTAAAAACGACAATTGTCACATTTCCACAGTTTGCATGCATTTTCAAAACTGTTCTAACTGGGGGGGAAAAAAAAAAAAAAGAAATCTCAAGAAGCAGCTTTCAGAAGTCATAAGAAGAATCTATTTTATGCCAATCCAAAACTAAAAGAATATATTAGGATTGGTCACGTACGTTACTATCAACCAAAAGTTAGAAAGAAAAATGAAATAAATATTAATGCAAATGATATACAAGTCAACCAAATAAGATGGAAAGAAATTGAAGGACACAATCAAGAGATGAGTTACGTGTTGGTAAGAACTATTCCCATGGTTTGCGCTGCTTCCTGCAGTTGCCACGGAAGAGCAGACTAGAGAAGTAATAATATTTATTATTCTTAGCATCTTTACGTTATGCCATTATTAATATTCCATTATTTTTTGGACAACTTCTTGGCTGTTTTTTGACTATAATGTTATTAATTGGTTACACTCTTAAGCGACCTACGTGGCACTCTATTAATAATGATTACTACCCACCTTATCCTCTAATCATATATGCAATGCTATAACGGTGTAACAAGCTAACTTTATTAAGTAATGTGTTCATGCACTTCTTTTATTTGTTTGTTTGTTTGTTTTGGTTGAGGATGTGTTCATGAACTAATTTGCTTGTTATAATCAGATAATTAAACTGGATTTCAGCTTTTACGTATGAATTATTTGTCTGTGTATCTTAATCACTAATATTGATGAAACCATCCACCCTTTGGCAACGTTACATGTTAATGCTTGCTGCCCACCTCAGCAGAAAAAAATGTTTTCTAATCGACAATAAAAATGTTTAAGAGTGATGTAACATGTTTTATTAGGACCTTCTCTGATACGTCAACATATCAGTAAGTTAGATGTTTTAACTGTTAAATTTACATAAAATTACATAAATATCAAAAAATACACATATTTAATAGTTAAAAAAACTTAACACAACATATCAGATAACCTCCGTGTTTTATTATAAGAAAAGACTAAAATACCGTACCCCTAAAATCCGGTGTCCATGTATTTTTTAATCCGTTGATGGTCAAAATTAGTTAAGCTCACCATTAGATAGATATGCCCACCCACACTAGATTTATGGGAAAAAAACACACTCAAATCTCGTATATGAAGGCCTCGTTCGTTTCGCTGATTCGAGTTGAGATATGATTTTATGTGAGAGCTTTTTACTGTAGTAAAAAAGTTAAATGTGACTGTTTCTTAGAGCTTTTTACTGTAGCAAAACTCGAATTTTAAACTCAAATCGGTGAAGTGAACGGGGCCGAACTCTTCACAGCCGTCGGAGTAAGAGGAGGGGGTCACCGGATCTTTGAGCAACGACTCGTCGCGATTGGGTGGCACCCCACCACCATGGGTCGTCATTTTGTCGGGAACCATCGAGACAGAAATCAATCGCAATCCCAATTTTGTCGTGGAACCCCATGACCTCAATCGCCATCCCATCGATGGTCGCGGCATGACCCATCGTGACTGAGGTAGCGAGCCGATAAAGGTCGCAATTTCATTAGGGCGGAGGCGAGCTCCATGGTCGCCATCGTCCCTAGCTCCTCCGCCCCTTCTGGCTGTCACAGTTCCGCTAGCGGATTTTTTATTTTATTTTATTTTTTGGGATAATCATATTTAGAATAGGTTGTTATCAAATGATGTGATGTCTATTTTTGTTTCCTTGAAACTGCGATCTAGAACCTAACTTTCAATCGGACGGTTTTTTTATTTATTTATAAAAAAGATAGGTCCCCATAACATATCCGTACAAGATGATATCGTCGTTAGCTAGCTCTTATTAGGAAAAGTTTTCTAGTACCGCTTTATTATATTCTTGAAGTTTAAACTTTAAAGTCTTCTTTAGGAAGAGTATTTTTTACGAAATTATGGTCTGAAATAGCTTTTGTTATTCTTTTTAAATCATTTGGTTAGTGCATAGAAAAGAGTTTTTGAAACCTGTTTGGTTTAAAAAATAAATAAAATATCATATTATAAAAGTAATGTAATATTATTAATTTGTTATTAATATGTAGATGAAATTATTAATTTGTCATTCTCAAATAAAAGGTTAAAAAAAAACTCTTTTTCCCATAAGCACCAAGCATTTAACTTGTTCAAAAAGAGCTTATAAAAGCCAAAGCCTAATAAGTGTGTCTACTCAAATACGTCTAGAAATAAATTTTGAACTAAATAAGCTAAAAGCTGTTTTTAAGTCATTTTAAACGGAGTATTTTGTTGCGTTGGCTAGAAGCTATTTCAAAGAACCAAAAATTCTCTTGAAAAGTTAATCCAAACATTTCCAAAAACAACTTTTGAACAGAAAACAACGCCAAACAAACCCATTATAAGTTTTAAAAGAAAAGGAGGGAAAAAAAAAAAAAAGGGAAGAGACATTCAGAGAACATTTAACTTTCAATTGCTTAGATTAACCTTCCTCAGCAATCAAGATTATCAGGACCACCAAAAACCACGTTAGGGTATGAAATCTAATTAATAAGAGCAAGTGAGCAACTATTGTTTAGCAAAATGTTTCCTAGATTAAGCTTAATTTGGTCCTTCATGTGTGAGTCCCCACCTAATGAAATCCGAAACATCATTTATGGAAAACACCCATTATATTTCTTAGCTAGCTTAGTTCTCTGGTAGTTTAGATGGTATCAAATACTTGAATAAACCTCCTATAACAGCTACATATCACAGTTGATTTCTATTTCCTCTTTTCCTTTTACAAGGAGGCACAAAAATCGGTCAATTTTAGAGACGTGTAACATAAATTACTCGATCATTTTAATGTCAGCAGTCCCAAAATCAGCCTCTTCCAATCTTTTAGTCATAAATTTCAAAATGTGGATAGAGATAGTTGGCCAAATTATTACTGTCGTAGCATTTATTTCTTGTCGTTCTCATGGCTGAGGAAACTGACTACTGACTAGTCAGAAGTGTATACGACGTGTCGTTTAGAGAACTTTTGGCTTTTTATTTTTTTATCATCACACGCTCATTGTCATTGCAACATGGATAATAAGTGGCTTGATCTTGTCACAGATTTTGCGTTAATGAACAAGACGTGAAATATACAAGCCAATAGGGATAATATTAAAGAATAGGGAAATATTGAAGGTTTTTTTTTATTTTTTTTTATTTTAATTATGAAGCAAAAGAGTACCAAAAAGAACAAGTTACAAAGGAAAGCAATTGTGTCAATCCCAAATAAGAACATGAAGAAATAATGTACCCTTTAACTTGCAAGTTTGTAAAGGATGATGAGAAAAACCTTGAACATGCAGATGGCAGGTTGAAAAAAGTACTTGAGATTGAGAACTCCAAAAGTAGTCTTTGAATTCTGCCACAGAAAAGATTCATAAATTTGGAAAAAGAAAAACTTGAAAACAATGCAGGTAAAAGTAGAATAACATTTGCAAATTCTCGCTTACCAATCACCAAACAAATTGACTTTCTTAAAGTGAAATGAATCACATGCTCGCTAGTCCATCATAAGAATTTTCTTCTTAACAATACTCTATCAAGTTTAGCTGCCACTGCAAGGTTGAAATCAAGTCTTGTGGTTTTTTGGGGCATATGCAAATTGGCTAAAGTCCATACCAACCGTTGACCTTCGATAAGTAGAAGCCAAAGAAAAGATGATGATCATGATGATGGTTATGATAATAGGAGAAAGTCAATGGAAATTAGGGACATGCAAACTGTACTACCTATTGTTACTAATATTCTGAACATCCTTAAGAGGAGCTCGGAGGCCACTCGCACGAGAACCAGATGAAGAATATCTAAAAGATGAGATTATTGAAACGAACTTTTCCATAGATTTTCCTGCTATATCAGAATAATGGGCTAAATGTGAAATGTTGGAACCAAACTTCCCTTCACTAGTGTCAGTACACATGTGCTTGGACTTTACATTTTCCTGAAAGCAGTTAAGAGTACAATGAACACTTCAAAAGCCTAAGCAGAAAGCATCAGAAAGAAAATTACTCCAATTAAAAGAAAATCACAAATACAAAGTACTTACTTCTTGAATGCTGTCGTTTGTAGGTTTCTTTCTTTTCAAGACATTGCCAACGGAATAGCCATTTCCGAGGGTACTCGCGGGAACCGAATCTTGACTCGTATGAATGGCCAGATTGTCCTTAACCAAACTATCTGCTTTGTTTTCTTGATCACTGTTATTTACTACCTTATGCTGAAAATAAGAACTCCTCACAATGACCTTTCTGCTCTCTTTTCTTATTTTTCCCTCAGTTGCATCTGGGGCACTCTCAAATTCATGCTCCTTTTGCTGTGTTAGACAAGGTCTATGAATTGAAATTTTGGGTTGTTGCAGCGAAGTGTGTTCTGGACTTCTTGTCTCGTCCTTCGTGCCTTTCATGTCATGAAGATAACTAAAGTGAGTAATGAGTATTATACCTATTGATGTTCAACAAGAGAAATTATAACCTTACCATGTCTTGGAGATTCTAAAAGGTCCTGAACTTCAGTGGCAATACCATCTTCAACCTAGAGAAAAACAATAAATTTTATAACATTTAAAGAGTAGCTTAAGAATATTTTATACTTCGTGATAGTAACTGAAAAGTTGTCACAACACCTATTTGGAACACTCACGGAGTCACTCGGAAGAGAGACATTGCCCATGTTTTCAGAGTGAAGTGGGGACGGTGTCTCTGAGCATGTTGTTTTAGAAGCAGCAGCTTCCTCGGCAACATGTTCTCTGGGACTGAGAGAAGAGTTGCAATGAGGACTTGGATGATTCGGTGATAAACGGGGGGCCCTGAATTTCCTCTTTGCCTCGAGAGAGGCAAAACCTTTGAACATTAAGGAAAATGAACAATAAAGCTTGCACTGACAGAGAATGAGCAACATGAAATTCATCCTGCCCCTTCATGGTTCCATGACAATAACCTTTACGTTTTAGACTTCCATTCTTTCATTTTTCTCTTTTCCTTTCTTTTACCATGGCAAGGCAGCCATCAGTATGGACTATTGCAACGATTATTGTATTATGTGGAACCTCTTTAATAACTTAAAAATCAAATTTTCCAAATATTTGTTAAGGGTTAGGACTTGAGAGAAAAAATGCAGCAGAATATCTCCTGCAAAAGAACCTAATACTAGGTATGGAGGATGAGTTTTTCATTGCAAAGGCTAACAGCATTTGTTAGTTAGTCTACTCTAAACAACTATTTAACTTCCACATGCCTATTTCTGAACATTTAATCAATAAAACAAAACGTACAATTATATGCATGTATTTCCTATAGTATGAAACATTTAAGATAAGAATAACATAAACAAACCAAGAAAAAGTAACTCAAATTTCAGAAGGATACAAAAGTACTTGGTCAGAAGATTCTTCTGTACAGGCAAGTCTAGCTTTTTCTTTACACTTCCAAGATCCACATTTTTTATTTTCAAAGTTCTGCTGGCACTACTACTCTCCTGTTGGTCAAAAAGAAAAAAAAAATGAGGGTTTGTTTACAAATGCTATTGGTAAAACAAAGAGCTTTAGAAAAAACAAAAACGTAAAGCCAACTAAACCAGCTAATATGTACCAATCAACTGTATGACATTGTGTTACGTTCCAGCACCAGTAAACAATCCAACAATAAGAAATAGAGAGAAATTACTTGAAAATGGGTCAAGCTCCTTTTATTAATTCTCACAAAATACTCCTCCGAGAGATGGATTCCATTCTCACGGGAATACAAGAAGATAAGAAGGAAATAAGAACGATGAGAAATTCAAGGTTCCCCTGCCTCCCAATGGTCTGCTAACAGAAAATGACTCAATTCACAGACAACCCCTCTCACACCCTACTCTGCTGCCTAAATACCTCTTTGCTAACAACATGTAACTAACTTGACACATCAACACCCTTTTGCCACAATTCCACTTCCCTCCCCCTTTTCCTACAGAATCCCCCTACGGCCCTTCCTCCTACCATAGACCATCGTAATAGGGGGCCTAACATTACCCTCCCCTTCGAGAGCAACCTTGTCCTCAAGGTTGAAAAAGGGAAACTGTGAGCGTATGGCAACTACAGGCTCCCAAGTGGACTCCCATGCAGGTAGGCCCTGCAACTAAATGAGCACTTCTGGCACTTCGCAGCCACCCTCCATGACGACCCGAGTAGCTAACACGTCTGTTGGCTGAACATAACTCCAAGTCATTAGATAATTGGGCAGGAAGAGGCTGGATCATAACGGCAGATCCCCTAAAGGGCTTCAACTGAGAAACGTGGAAAACTGGGTGGAGCCGAGCATCGTCCGGCAACCGCAACCGATTTGCCACCGGGCCAATGCGGTCCAACACTTCAAAGGGTCCATAGAAACGCGGGCTGAGCTTCTCATTGACGCGTCGTGCAAGGGACCTAAGCCGATAAGGCCTCAACTTGAGTAAGACCTGTTCGCCCACCTTAAAACTGAGCTCCCTACGATGCCTATCGGCAAATTTCTTCATGCGGTGCTGAGCCAACACAAGATGAGATTTCAACAGGTCTAACATGGCATTGCGTAAGGCCAGCTGTTCCTCCACCCCTGCTACCTGCCCGGTGAATCGTTGAAGGGATACAAGGCGGGGGGGTCGCGGCCATAAACTATGCAGAAAGGGGTGAACTTTGTTGAGGCATTAAAGGTAGTGTTGAACTAATTTTCTACCCATGGAAGGAACGCTGCCCACTGTCTTGGTTTGTCCCCCGCAAAACACCGCAAATACGTTTCCAAACAGCGATTCACGACTTCCGTTTGTCCATCAGATTCCGGGTGGTATACTGAACTAGTATGCAGCTTAGTACCCTGTAATTTGAAGAGCTCGCGCCAAAACCCACTCATGAACACGGCGTCACGATCGCTCACAATTGACCGTGGGATTCCATGCAGCTTGACGATGTGTGTGACAACCAGGGCAGCCACCTGTTTGGCAGAAAACGGATGAGCCAGGGGGCAAAAATGAGCGTACTTGGACAAGCGATCCACCACCACCAATATGGTGTCAAAGCCACCGGATTTTGGTAAGCCACCCACAAAGTCCATAGAGATATCGTCCCAGACTTGGGTGGGAATAAGGAGAGGCTGTAAGAGGCCGGCAGGGGATAATGCTACCGACTTGTTCTTCTGACATATCTCACAGTGAGCTATGTAATCCCGAATGTGCCGCTTCATTCCTTTCCAAAAAACCACCGCGGACAGCCGCTTGTAGGTGCGTACAAAACCCGAATGTCCCCCGATTACTGAATCATGAAATTCGTGGATCAATCGAGCTATCCAAGGGGAGTTTTCTACCAACACCAACTTGTCCTTGTAGAATTGTAGGTTGTTCTTCAATGAATCCCCCTCCAACACCTCCCCTTTCTCGAGTTTAGCAATGACAGAAGCCCACGTTGGCTCGGTGCGTTGCTCCAGCTAAATGGCGGCAAAATCCCACGTGGGGTATAGTTAGAGAGGAGAGGGAAGTCTCATTCCAGTTGCCCCGCCGAGACAACGCATCCGCAACCCGGTTGGATGCCCCCACCTTGTACTGTACTTCAAAATCGTAGCTCAACAGTTTGTACACCCAACGTAACTGCTCGAGGGAAGCTGTCGTTGACTCATCAAGAACCGCAGGCTTTGTTGGTCGGACCTAACCACAAAGTGACGGCCTAAGAGGTAGTGCCTCCATTTTTGGACTGTAAGAACCACCGCCATTAATTCCCTCTCGTAGACGGACTTCAAACGGGAAGAAGGGGCAAGTGCTTTACTGAAAAAGGCAAAGGGCCTGTCCTCCTGCAACAGTACCGCTCCCAAGCCACTTCCCGAAGCGTCGGTTTCGATAACAAAAGGTTTAGAGAAGTCGGGCATGGCCAAGACCGGGATTCGCGTCATTGCTTATTTGAGCTCTTCAAATGCTCGGGCTGCTTCATCTGTCCACACAAAGCCTTTCTTCTTGAGCAACTCTATTAGAGGCTTCGCAACATTTCCATAGCCCCGGACAAAGCCCTTGTAGTATCCGGTGAGCCCCAAGAACCCCCGCACCTCTCTTGCGTTGCTCAACGGAGGCCAAGAGGTGATTGCCTGTATCTTGGACGGGTCAGTTGCCACCCCTTGCGCAAGGATAATATGGCCCAAGTATTACAACTGCAGCCGGCCGAAACAACACTTTTTCTTATTTGCAACCAATTGTTCACGCTGCAATAGGCTAAGCACAATGGTGAGGTGCTGGTAATGCTCCTCCCACGAACAACTGTAGACCAAAATGTCGTCAAAGAATACCAAGACAAATTTCCAAAGATGTGGACGAAAAATGCGATTCATGAGAGCCTAGAAAGTGGCCGGGGCATTCGTCAAGCCGAAGGGCATGACGAGGAACTCGTAGTGACCCTCATGTGTGCGAAAAGCCGTCTTCTCGACGTCCGCTTCATGCACTCGGATTTGGTGATATCCAGCCCGCAAATCCAACTTCGAAAACGCCATCGCCCCATGGAGTTCGTCCAACAATTCATCGATCATCGGAATCAGAAACTTATCGGGAATGGTTACTTGATTCAGCGCACGATAGTCCACGCAGAATCACCAGCTCCCATCCTTCTTCTGGACCAAGATAACCGGGCTGGAATAAGGACTGCTACTCGGCCAAATAATCCTAGAATTTAGCATATCCGATACTAAACGTTTGATCTCTCCTTTTTGGATTTGCGGAAACTGGTAAGGCCGTACGTTTGGTGGATCAACACCCTCTTTCAGCACAATCCGATGGTCCCGGCCCCGGTGAGGCGGCAGCCCTATCGAGGTCTTAAACACCTTTTCGTAATTGTCAATAACTGTTCGTACCTCCACTGGAATCTCTCGGTTTTCTTCTTCCCTGTCTAACCCCGAGAACTCACACACCTCTACCAACAATCCAACCCCATCCGGTGATAATGTCCGGACCAAGGAGCTCATATTGACCGGCGCGTAGCATAGACTAGGATCGCCTTTCCAGATTACCCAAGTTGGCCCTGCCCGGAACTTCATTAGGAACTTTGCCCAATCCGCCCTTACCGCCAAGCGTGCTGAGCCACAAAACCCCCAAAACTAGGTCCGCACCCCCTAACTCAATCGAAAAGAAGTCCTCTACCACCAAGTGACCTTGAATCCACACATTCACCCTCCTATAACTCCGGTCTGCCTAACACTCAAACCATTACCCACTATAATGTTGTGACTTACCGTGGAATCCATCGTCAAGTGCAACTCCCCCACCACCGTTTCTAAGATGAAGCTATGGGTTGCTCTGCTGTCCACGAGCACCACGACCTCTCGATTTCCGATCCGGCCCCGGAGCTTCAAGGTATTGGAAGATGACACCCCCCGCATCAAGTTCAAGGACAAATCCACTTTCTCGTTCGTGACCTCCTTCCCACTGTCTTCCACCGACCGAGTTTCTTGGCCATTGTCCCCGTCTTCTCCGGAACAATCCTCCTCATCTGCCAGAAATAACACTTGCAGCTGCCTATTCTTGCAGCAATGTCCCGGGCCAAATTTTTCGTCACATTTAAAGCAAAGGCCCCTAGACCGCCGGTGCTGTGTTTCCTCCTCCGTGAGCCGGTGGTACGCCGACTCTGCGCCGGCCAGTGGGGCCGGCCCCAAACCCTGCCCTAGCCGTGTCCCCTGACCCATCACCGCCTCGCTCTGGGGTTTGGATCGAAGGGGGCCCTCTGGAGAAAAAAGGGTGGAACTTGGGCCCTCAAACGATCCCCCAGAACGTCCCCACAGTTCAGATCTGAGCCCTCGGCCCATCTGGTTCCTTCTTACCTGATCCGCCGCCTCATTATGGGCTTCCACCTGCTGACCCAAATCCATCATCTCATGTAGACCATTAGGCCAGTGCATCTTCAGTTTGGCCCGTATGTCTTCCCTCAGCCCATGGAGAAAAGCCCCCTTGAATATGGCTTCAGGAACTCCTTGCATTTGTGCCGCCGTGGTCTCGAACTCGTCACGGTAGTCCGCCACTGTTGCCCGCTGCCGAAGAGCCATCAGTTGCTCCACCGGATCTACTTCCCTCGTGCGTCCAAACCGCTGTAGAATTGCCGCTCAGAGTTCCCGCCAAGATCTGAACGGATCTTGCGCATCTACCCACTGGAACTAGCCCAAGGCTCTACCTTCCATGCACACCGACGCGACCACCACCTTCTCCTCGTCCTCCACGTCGTTGACGGCAAAGTACCGGTCGGCCCTAAACACCCATCCTTGGGGGTCCTCTCCCTGGAATATTGGCATCTCTAGCCTCCTTCCCCGGTGTTCAGCCCGTCCTCTCGGCAGCGGTGGCGTCTCTTGCCGGTATTCCCGCTCGTATCGCCGGGGTTCTTCATTGCGCGGAGGCGGCGACACTGGCCGAACGTTCGGTCCCGGCCATCGAAGGTCGGGGAATCGCTGTTGACCCGCGTCGAACCAAGGTGGAAGGTGTGGGTGTCGCTGGAGAAAGTCCGCCTGCCGTAGCAGAAGATTCTCCAGCCATCGTACCGATCCCTGTACCTCTCCCATCTGGACGCCAATCTCAGCCATGTCTTCCTAGAGTTTAGGGAGAGGCTCTATCATAGCCTCCACAATCTGCAACGCCTTGTAGAACGTATCCATTCGCTGTTCGAGTCGAGACACCACCTCTTCCGGTGGATGCTCGCCGGAAGCTTCCGCCATGGATCAACTGCTCTGATACCAAAATGTTACGTTCCAACACCAGTAAACAATCCAACAATAAGAAACAGAGAGAAATTACTTGAAAATGGGTCAAGCTCCTTTTATTAATTCTCACAAAATACTCCTCCGAGAGATGGATTTCATTCTCACGAGAATACAAGATAAGAAGGAAATAAGAACGATGAGGAATTCGAAGTTCCCCTGCCTCCCAATGGTCTGCTAATAGAAAATGACTCAATTCATAGACAACCCCTCTCACACCCTACTTTGCTGCTTAAATACCTCTTTGCTAACAACCTGTAACTAACTTGACACATCAGCACCCTTTTGCCACAATTCCACTTCCCTCCCCCTTTTCCTGCAGAATCCCCCTACGGCCCTTCCTCCTAGCATAGACCATCGTAATAGGGGGCCTAACACATTGTGTGGTACTTTAAGATTACATGGTTCCGTATCAGCTCTCAGATAACCAGAACTTCCCCACTTTTTTCCATTACTTCTTTAATTTAGTTTCATTAACATATTAAAAGCTAACATGCTTGGAGTAAATGAAAACAGTTAAGTATTAGCAACATAAACTAACGGAGAGCAAGAAAACATGTAAAGCAAAACACTTAAAAGCATTCAAATTCAAGGAAGCTCACTTAAATAAATGTAAACTTGAATACCTGAACTTCAAGACGTGAAACCTGAAATGGCATGTTGGTAAATGGATCAAGATCACCTTCTGCTATGCCTTTAGCAATATCTTTGGGTATCGATGTATGTTGTGTTAAGGTATCTCGAGCATTCCACCCTCATATAAAAGAGACGCATACATGCAGTTTCAGTGATTTCTATTAAAAAGGATATGGCCCTAAGAAGTCCAAACCATCCCCAATATCGCAAGATATTTCGGACAAATGTACAATGTCCTCAGTAACAGGATCATAAACACGTTGATGCTGAAAAGTCAATATTGCTTTCTTGAATGATTCTTCATAAAGAGGAGGAACTGAAGCAATGCTGTATCTCAGGTGCTTAATTACCTGCAGTCATAAGTTGGCATATAACAGATATAATCATAATATCAAAGAAAATAATAATTAAAGGACGTGCAGGGGAAAGAAAATATGACGTTCAGTCTATCTACTTGAAGGATACAATTATCAAGGTCATGAACGATAAGAATTCACCTTGTCATAAGTTGTGAACCTTTTGATAAGAGTATGGGCCCTTTTCAGGCCCATTCCAGGCAATGACTGCAAATAGTCACAGCCACTCAGAATGCACATCTCAAGAACCATTTGCTTCGTGAAGCCAGAAAAGCTTAATTCCTTGTTGTGTTGTAGCATGGAATACTGAAACTGAACAGCTTGCCCAAATTTGTCCATTTTAAAAATAATCTGGATTTGACAAAGTTTGAAGTACCTAGTAGGGATAAGAACATAATAGAAGAACAGCATGTGACACCAAATTTTGGAATGATGGGTTGGTGATAACTCACCCTGGGACATCCAAATGCTATTAGATCTGAGTCCTCGGTGATAACTGCATCGACCTGTTTCTTGATTGCCAAGAATGTCATTTGGGCATCTGCTTCATAAGGAGCCACGACATATCGTATGTTCTCCTTCTTTAACACCTTTCAAAAGCAACCATATCAAAAAAACAGAAGATGGTCATCTTTTAGCACTCAGAAAAACGTTGTAAATTCTAGAAGACCATATAATTTGGAGAAGGTAATGGTTTTGGTTCCACTGAAAAGCTAGAGTATTTCTTGCAAAAAATTTGTCTCTCTCACCTGAATTAAGTCGTGTGCAATTGAAGGTGAAATGTCAACAGCTTTTTGATAGCACTCATAAGCAGCAGCAGAATTGCCGTTTGACTCATGATCCATAGCACGTGCAAGATTTTCCTTTCTCACCCTGCAAATTTTCTCGAGTCAAATGTTATCCACAAATCCATAGATTAACAGTGGAAGGACCCCTAATTCGCATAAAATGGATATGAGAGAATGACTGGAAGTACCACTTTGTCCACTTTCTTTCTTATATAAATGTAGAGAGAAGGCAACTAGCACCAGCAATAAATTGCACATCCCAACTTGGTTGGCAGTACCACTTTGTACACTTGGTCAGGCAGACTAGCCACGAATTTTTGATAGGTTTCGAAAGGAGGAAGTATAAATAACAAGAGTGTAGAGTATTTAACCAGGGATGTTTCAAGAGATTTTGTCCCAGCAAAAAATAGGCAAGGAAAAGAAGGAAATAACAGGTTTAAAAAAATTCTGGAAAGCTCATCAGACCAATTTAAAACTACACAATACACGAATAATCCTAGACCACCTACTGCACACGGAGACTTAAAAATGCGCTGCATGAATACGTAAACACACACACTCACATACACAGAGAGAACACTGCAACAGCAGCAATCCAGATGATGGATGTAACTCAGACCATCATACACATCTGGAACACAATAGACCAGTTTAGAAAGAAAGGTCTATTGCAAGCTAGTAAACCAACTATGAACCAAAAAAATTAGGCCACTGAAACAAAATTATTACTGATGATTTAAATCACTCTAGTAGTTTATTAAAATGTCGAGAAAAAAAAGAGAAAAAAATATCGCCAAACTACATTTAGGGACCTAAACTCAAAAATGCAATTAAAACTGCAATTGAGGACTAATGCAGCCTACTCCAGGCTCATTATATTATTGATTGTTGATCGTATATGTTAGTGCTACCAATACAAGTAGAGCTAAAATTGAAGGTAACAAACATACCTTGCACGTTTGTTCTCTTGTTCACTCTTCATTGGTAGAAGACCTCCATCAAAGACAAGAACAGGTTTGACACCATAATGCCGCAGCAGATTTACTCTATGCATGCAATAATCAATGTGCCTAAATAATATTAAAGACAAAAAAACAAAAATATTATTGCCATTTGCCAGCCCGCCTCCTAATAGCTTAAGATTTTAGGAGAATTGGTAAGTAACAAGTATGATGAGATAGACGCTTATTGTATGCTCATTTATCATTCATTGAGCATACTAAATCCTCTGAAGAATTACTGACTATATTTTTTTCAAATACTTACCAATCATCACACAATGTCCAGTAATTAGTTACTAAAATCCAAAACTATTACTCCTAATATCCTCCAATCTTAAAGGAAACTAACGATAATAAATACATGCTATTGTTGTTTAACCGTATCCTTTAAGACTCGCTAAGACAATGAGTTGAATACTTTCATTTTATGGAACCAGACACGGTTATGGCCCTCGGTCGCCATCTTTTGCTTTGCTTTTGTTCTTGTCTGTTAATAACAACATAATTGTAATAAACGGAAATAGATTAAGATGATTAATGGTAAAACAACTTTCATATTTTTTCAGGAGAAAGAAAAAAAGCTTTCATATTTCCAAGAAACCACCTGGGCACATAAAGGGTTCTTCAACGAAAACCCCCAAATAGAGAAAATTTCAGAAATTGCATCCACAAAACCGAAACAAAAATACCCAGTACGCGAAACACACTATACGACCCAAAAAAAGATTGTCCATTTATCAAAATTGGTTGAAGCGAAACTAAAACCTTTAACTACACAAGCCCATTATCCCAATGCCCAAAATGACGAAGAATCATTCTACAGAGAAAGGAAAAAAAGACCTGGAAGTAGGAAGGCCTTTGCAGAGATCTTTGCTACAAGACAAAGCGCCTTTGTGAAGCCAAGAATAAGTGTCGACAGCCACACAACAGCCCTCCAATTCCTTAATGTGAATCGGCACCATAATCGATTTCAGTAGCGGCAAAAGCCCTTGAATCCCCATTTCCTTGTTCTCGGAATCCCCGAAAATTCCGACCTCAAAGTTCAATGGATTCTTCAGCTACGGAAATGGCAGATTATTTTACGTTTTTTTTTTTTTTTTTCATTCGCATTCGTTAGAAAGAGAGAGAGAGATGGGGTTATTAAGCGGAAACTGCGGCTTCTTCGAGGGAAAAATATGGCGGGAAAGTTGTGTTTTGGCCGTGAAAAGGAGGATTCGATTGGCTCTTCTATGCTGTTTGCTTGTACGACAAATCCTTGAGTTATCAACGGCAAGTCGTTTTACTTGTAGAAGTACTGCCGTGCCTTGTCGTTGTTTTTGTCTTAACGACGTGCCGTTTTATCAAACAAAACGGATGCAAATGGTTTCCGTTGAAGAGGAATTTGACTCATCTCGTTTGTTTTTTTTTTTTAGTGCCGCTTTTCTTTATAGACTGCAGCATGTCGTTTTTTTGACAATGAAAAAAAAAAAAAAGTTTTCCCACAAGAAATATAAGTCGATTAATTATTAAAATCATTGGATATCGTGACTTGAGGATATTTTTAAGGAGATAAAGAATCATCCTAGCAAGATGAATACACTGCAGTTGGAATTCCTTTACTATGCGTTTGTTTTATAAGTTCAACTACTATTTAAATTTTTTTACTACGGTATTTTTTTCTTATAATATTAAAATTTTTATTAATATGCGTTATAATATTAAAAGAGCACCTTGATAATGTAAAGTCATGGTTTAATTGTTTCTCTGTCTGAGGGGCTGACCAAAGAGGCGCAATTTTGGTTAGCATGGAAAGTAATTATAAGTCATGTGTATATAGTTACTCAACCATCGTTTAAACGGCTCAAAGGTCTCGGCTGACGTGTATCATCATCTTCGGGCGCGCCATCAAAGCTGTCATGTAAGGAGATAACAATCTTTGTTTTCTTGATAGCCAAGAAGCATGTCGGAGAATCAAAGATTGCACGAATAAACTCTATGAGTTGATTGTAGATATTATTGTAGTTATGTCTAACAAGGAGAAAGGAATGACAGAGATCGTGGAGATCTTTAAAGACTCCCCTTCAACAAACAAAAGATGGTTTACATTATAATGATTATGTGATTATAGACAAAGTTTCTGTTCTTCTCGACACGACACGTGCAAAGAATTTTCTGAGCAACAAAAGAATCAATTGGACTTTATTCAAGACGCTAGATTATAAAACAAAAGCATGTTCCTCTAGTCCTACATTGAACGTTGTTCACCTCGATCTTCTTAATATGCAGAAGGCATTGATTGAAATGACAATAGATGTTAAAAGCATTTTCTACAGAGGAAATCAACTAAAGACTAAAGACATGCTAAATGATGACATTCTCAACATTCAGCACCTTATCACGTTATACAAAACGATTCGAAGAACTGTCCGCAAAATTGTTCCTATCTCTACCTCTTAAAGAGGGGTGGGGTTGGGATCGGGAATTTTCCGTTTGAGTAGCCTTCATTACACCCGCTTCATTGTGCATCTAATAAAATAACGCATTTTAAAATTATAACAATTTAAAACAAAAATAAAGTAGAAATTCACTATAAATTTAAACCAAAGTCAAAAGTTGCACAAAACAAACCAAATTCTAAATATATGCACACCAAATATTGGTAATAAAGCATCAATAGAACTAATTATATTTTGAAAATTAATTTTATACATATTTATCTATATATATTTATATGAATATCCAGGTAGAGGTGGGGTGGGGATGCTTCGCCCGTCCCCGCCCCACTGCAATTCAAGGACAAGTTTTTATTTCCATTCCCGTCTCCATCCTTTTCTCATTCCCGTCTCTTCAGGTTGGGGCCTTGTCCCCATGAAGAAAACTGTCATCTCTATTTAACACCTTCCAAAATCAAGAAGGATAAATTGGGAAAAAATAATTGATGTAATGAAGCATATTTAAAAATCTATAAGATGTTGGAAAAAAAAAGATTAAAATGGAAGACAGAGTGCAGGGAGAAGGAAAGAACTTACCCCCCCCAAAAAAAAAGGTTAATTTCATAAATGGTCCCTTAAGTTTACCTTCAGTCCAATTTTAGTCCCTAATTTTTTAACATAACACAGTTGATCTTTGAGATTTTATTTTGTTTTAATTTCAGTCTTTCCGTTAACTATGTGTTAATATTTGATCGAATATGTATAAATTAAGGACTAAAATTAGAAACAGTTAAGATTTTGAGACTATATGTAGAAATTAACTTTTATTTTTTCGAATTGTTTTTGTTCCTAAACTTTATATGTTTCAAATTTTAGTCTCTAATTTTTACAAATTATGTCAAATATTTAACACCAAGCTAACAAAATAATTGAAACTGAAACAAAGTAAAACTTTAGGGATTAACTGTGAGACGTTTTAAAAGTCAATAACTAAAGTGGAATTGAGAGTAAACCTCATTGATCATTTATAATATTAATAAAAAAAAACCACTTTTGACCAAAATTAAAAGTTTATTGTAGTAGTGTCACTTCACACTTCCAGATAAATAGCCCCAAAGCCCCCAAAAAAGTGTGTTTTTCGGATAGTCTTTAAGAAAATGAATTACTAGTAGTTTTTTATTTTTAAAATATTAGATTTGTATTAAAATCTATTTATTTTTAAGTATTTTTTTAATTTTGATATGATTTTGACCAGACCTAAATGTTAAAATTTTAGATTACCGGTAGGGCGGCCTATTAGAGAACTCCCCAAAAAATTCAAAATCTAATCTTATTCAAATTAAATAAATATCACCCTTACACTATTAGAGAATTTAAAATTTTTTTTTTTTTTTAGAAAAAGGGCCCAATACACTTTGTTAAATACTAGCTTGCTTTTTTATGTAGCATGCTTTACTGAGGCAGATACCAATTTGTTGTGAAGCGTATGTAAGTCCAAACGATTCATTCTCAATCCATAAGAAGAAAGTAGCTAATCGGTTTCTAACATTAACATTCATTCTAACTAACAGGTGTATTACTGTGAAGATGTATTTTTCGCTATGAATATTAAGAAGAGTTAACTATAAAAATGAATGAGAGATCAATTTATGAATTATTATGTACATTGACAATAACACATCCAATAGCCTCAATAATGAGGTTCGTGTAATATCTTTATGGCATTAAAACTCGTTGATGATGATTGTATTATATTAACAATTGTTGGTTTTGATTAATTTTTTGTTTTAGTTATTACTTCTTAGCCAATTTTGTCGCAGTTATTAGCCCCAGACAAAAAAGTAAGGGCACTTTATAAGAATACCACAGGTTTTGAACTTAGATTGAAATATATTAGGAGACATGAATTATTGTAAAAAATATCACAACTAAAAATACTTAAAAATCGTAAAATCTATAAAAATTACAAATATATACATGAAAAAACACAAAACGTTTTACAAAATCTAAAATAATGAATTAAATACATAAAAGTACAAACATAATTTTAGTCCAAACATAAAATTTAAATGATATTTTATGGTATATTTTGTAATAGTTTTAATACTTATAATAAAAGTCAATTCAACCTTAAAAATGATGACATACTGCTTAAATATCTTGTAAGGTGTTTGACTTCGCCACTGGATACTTCTATATATTAGTTAGAGTAGAGAGTTAGATAGTTAGGGCTCGTTTAATTCGCTGATTCAAGTTTTTAATTTGAGTTGAGATGTGCTAAACTCGAATCAGTGAAATAAACGGGGCATTAGATTAGATACATGGAGATTAGACAAGCTGCGTGGCTACAAATATATATGTATAATTGTGCGCAAACTATATACTAGAAAATACAAATCTGTCAAAAAGTTGTTGAAAAATATGTTCACTAATATATTTAGGGCTTGTTCTTTTGAGTGAAAAACTTAAAAAAAGACAACTTGAGTTACAACTTTATTCGAGTTCATGTTCTTTTAAGTTTAAACTCGAGTTCAAATTCGAGTTTAGGACTAAAACTCGAGTTCAAGTTTCCCCTTAAACTCGAGTTCAGAAACTCGAACTCAAATTAATGAACAGTATTTTTTCTATTATTAAAAATGCTATAACTTTTTCGTTTTAATTCTGATTGAGATGTTTTTTTTCTATGCATTGACAACGAAAAGACGAATAAAACCCGACCCATATACCCTATTAAAATTTTTCATCAACATTGAGTTTTTATTAAAATACTATATAAATACAAATTCAAGTTTTGACTCACTCAAATATAAACTCAAAAAGATTCTTATCTCAAACCATAACTCAAATATACACAACTAAACACAAACTCAAATTATAAATTTAACTCAAATTATAACTCAAATTTAAATTAAACTCTAAAAGAATAAACCTTATATTTCAATACTATTCGCATATTTATGATGGTAAACCCAAATAAATAAAAAACGTGATTTAATCAACCAATATAGTACAAGTCACATCAACATCTCATAATTAATTCGTAAGGACCTAAATAAATAAAAGAAAATATCTAAAAATTTCTGGTGAGGAACTGCTCTGGCTAGTTCACTTGGGAGTCTGTGGACCACAATTTCTTATTTCTACAATAATAGTTTCCAAAAATTATCTCTTAATACTTGGTTTCTCCTTTTCAAAAAAATAAAATAAAATAAATCATTTGATGGTCTCAGTTTGCTTATAAAAAAATTGAGGCCGTCTGGCCTCATTTATTTTATCAATTTGAGTTTTTAGTTTTAAATTTTTATAAAAATTTTTTTTTAAAAAATATTATATTTAATTTTTTCTGTTATAGTGAACAACTCTAAAAAAATATCACATTTTAACTCAAATTGAAAACTTAAATCTGCGAAATAAATTTGCCTGCTTGCTTGCAATAAAACTTGAGGAGCAAGTTGATTTGATGTACTAGTTGAAGCAAGTTTAGACCAGTCGATATTTTTATTATTTATTTATGGCATGGATTTTAAGCTAAATGATCCTTAAAATAAAATCATTTGATGGTCTCAGTTTGCTTACAAAAAATTGAGGCTGTCTGGCCTCGTTCATTTCACCGATTTGAGTTTTCAGTTTTAGATTTTTACAGTAAAAAATTCTTAGAAAATGTCATATTTAACTTTTTCTGTTACAATAAAAAATTCTAAAAAAATATCACATCTCAACTCGAATTGAAAACTTAAATCTCTGTAGTAAACTTGCCTGCTTGCTTGCAATAAAACTTGAGGAGCAAGTTGATTTGATGTACTAGTTGAAGCAAGTTTAGACCAGTCGATATTTTTATTATTTATTTATGGCATGGATTTTAAGCTAAATGATCCTAAAATAAATCATTAAAGAGAAATATTACTGCCTTATCAAGCCTTTCCAACGTTAAAAGGCTTTCTTTTGGGGCAACTAATGTACAAAAGTACAGAGAGAGAGAGAGAGAGAGAGAGAGGAAGGAGAGAACACAGCCTTGTAAAGACCTCTCTTTTCACAATTATCACAAATCTGTCCAGAGAGAGAGAGAGGGAGAATCTGCTTTGTTTTGTTTCGTGTGGTTTGGAGAATTGGGTGATCATCCATTTCTATAGATGACAACTGCATTGTCTTCTGTTTATGCAGTTTGCAGTGATGCTGCTGGAGTTGCAGGTAGTGCTCAAAAAAAAAAAAAAAAAAAAAAAACTTTTGCTAGGAGAGAACACAGCCTTGTAAAGACCTCTCTTTTCACAATTATCACAAATCTGTACAGAGAGAGAGAGAATCTGCTTTGTTTTGTTTTGTGTGGTTTGGAGAATTGGGTGATCATCCATTTCTATAGATGACAACTGCATTGTCTTCTGTTTATGCAGTTTGCAGTGATGCTGCTGGAGTTGCAGGTAGTGCTCAAAAAAAAAAAAAAAAAAAAAACCTTCTGCTTGTTGCATTCCTTTTCTTTTCCAAAAGTCACATAATTCTTTGTGACTTTGATAAATATTATAACCCTCTAAAATATTATAATCCGAAACTTCTGTTCTGTTGTTATAGGAAAGTAAACTAAGCATCTACTTAGAAAATTTGGTTTGGTTTTGGCAGACTTATTTCATGTACTTTTCCATTCTTTTTTTTTTTTTTTTGAAAAACCAAATCTATCTTATAAATATACAACTGGCTATGTTACAATAGGTATAATTTAAGTAACGAGTTTTGATTTAAAAAAAAAAAAAACTGACAAGGGGAAAAAAAGAAATTTTTCCTGCCGTTTCTTCTTCATGGGGTTAGTTGATAATTGATAAGCTGATTGATCAATTGCAGGAAACCTCTTGGCTTTTGGGTTGTTTTTATCACCAATGTAAGTTCTCTAAGACCAAACAAATGAATGCAAATTTCCACTAATACCCTCCCTTTTTAAAAAATTAATTTCCTTAATTTCCTTGTTTTCTATGCAGACCAACATTCAGGAGAATTATAAGAAACCATTCAACAGAACAGTTCTCAGGATTGCCTTATATTTACTCATTTCTGAACTGTTTGATATGTCTTTGGTATGGAACACCTATAATATCACCTGGTGTTATATTGGTTGCCACAGTCAACTCAATTGGGGCTGTTTTCCAATTTCTCTACATAATCATTTTCATCTTCTATGCTGAAAGAGTAAAAAAGGTAATAATTTCCACTTCTAAATGATTCACCTTAAAAGTTTTTGTTAATTCAAACCATATTCTTAAACCATCCTTTTTTTTTTTTTGCAGCTAAAGATGACAGGATTGCTAATAGCGATTTTTGCCCTATTCGCGATCATAGTATTTGTTAGCGTTAAAGTTTTAGATTCCGGTGTTCGGCAAGCCTTTGTTGGATACTTGAGTGTTGCTTCACTCATTTCCATGTTTGCTTCGCCATTGTTCATCATTGTAAGTACACGCAATTCAAAACACTTATGCACGTTTTGGTTTTAGACACTGCAATTCCTTTTCAACTCGTTTGCTTTCCCCTTGTAATGTGTTTTACAGAAATTGGTGATCAAAACAAGGAGTGTTGAATTCATGCCCTTCTATCTATCCCTCTCAACTTTCTTGATGAGTCTCTCTTTCTTTGCTTATGGAATGTTGAAGTACGACGGTTTCATATATGTAAGTTCTTGGACCCTTCTTGCAGACAAGGCCAGATTCTCTGCTCAAATTTTGGCATAATCTAATTAGGATGCCTAATTAGGATGAGGAATCATATAAAATATAATTAGATTATACAAACAAAGTATAGTTAGTTCCTTCTAATTAGTGGATTGAACAAATATAGAGCATTCTAATACTTGTACTATTTCTTACAGCCTAGGAAAGAGTATTGCTTTTACCAGTTGCTTATAAATATGATTTGTTTCAGGTTCCAAATGGAATTGGATCAATCTTGGGGCTTGTCCAGTTAGCCTTATACTACTATTTTAGCGGTACTTCTTCAGAAGACTCGAGAGAACCCTTAATCGACATGTATGCGTGAATAAATTCCTTCACAACACGCATCAAAGTCTATAGCATGCTCAATCTCTTCTTTTATTTGTCTAAAGGAAAAATTGGCAAACAATGTTTACAATAAGACAATGACATCTAAATAATGCGTCTCGACGATCTGTCGTGTTCTATTCCGAAGTAGCAAGAAAGCGCAAAACTAAGAAAGCAGCATCAGACATTCAGAAAATGTCTGCTTGTAATTCTTCTGATATGTCTAGAGAAAATTCACACTCAGAAAATGTCTGCTTGTAGTTCTTCTGATGTGTCTAGAGGAAATTCCTTGTCCTGCTCAAAGAAGAGTTAGACATCCTCAGTTATGGAAAAGAAAATGGACAACCTTGTTCATTTGGTGCATTTTCAGTCCACAATAAACAAAATGATAAGAGAAAAAACTATGCTATGAATATGAAATTTTGTAATGTTGCAAAATTATGTAGTTTACAAGCCACAAGAGACAACTTCCACTATGCCACTACATTATCCACTGTGGAGTTTGGCAACTTTGCTGTATAAGTTACAAAATGTTTTTTACAACGTGTTATAGCTCAAACTCAAACTATATGAAGATTTTATTGCCACTCCAAAACATTCACGGCCCGTTTATTTCATATACTTAAATTAAATTATTGATTTTATTGTAGTGTTTTACTCTCAATAAAAAAATTAAATTACGAACGTAAGAATTAAAAATCATTATTTTTGTATACCTTATTTATAAACGGGCTCTCAAACTTGCCTCTAATTTGCCATTTATGCTTAAAATTGTTCGCACAAAGACTTCAAAATAATAGCATGAACTGTTCCCTGCAACAAATATTGGAAAACCTACAAGAATCCAAAAGAAATAAAGGAAACTTTCCATATTGTTACATGGTGAATATTTTAAAGTAAATTCTATTAGAGCATTAAATGGCATGAACGGAGCTGGCTTATATCTGGCGGGCTCAATCTTTCACTCAACTTATTTATTTTATTTTTCCTTAAAAAGCATATGAAAATATGTAATTATACCCAAAGACACATTTTCCCACCAAGCAGTAAAAAACATTAAAAATTTAATCTTATAATCTCATTATTATTATTTTTTTTAAATTATTAACCTCTATTGACAAAAAGTTACAGTTCCGTCACTAACTGTATTTAGTGGAGCAACCATCAGTTATGATGCTTTACTGAATGAATTCAGTATAAAGGAAACTTGGTTATATATTAAGTAGTTTACATCAATATTATACAATCTAAGTTCACTTTCAACTGTGGTTATGAACATAACTTTTTTTAGAGAGTGTTAATGTTCAAAGAGCTAATAAAAATGGTTATTTAGGATAAGTTTGGAAGGTATACTCAAATTATGATTTTTGATTTTGACGTTTGAAATTTAAATTTTTTGTGAGAGAAAAACATTGTAATAAAATTAATGGTTTTGAGCTTGAGTATATGAAACAAATATGCCCTTAAATTATATTGAGTGAAAGACGAAATTCAATAGTAAAAAAAAAAAACGTGGTCATATGTTATCAATCAACATAATATGAAAGGAAGGAGGAGGAATTTCAATTTGCTAATAGGTAAATATACATCCTTGCACATTATTATACGCATGAAAAACGCGGTTAGAAAACGGCAAAATAGAATAAATTACAATCAAATTTTGATGCAAGTGTTTACTTATTAAAAGTTGGAATTACATTTCTAATTTAAGAAGTAAATTTAAAAATTGGAATTACATTTCTATTTTAAGAAATAACTTTTTCAATTATCTTTTCCATTGATGATGATTAAATGTACTAGCAAATGAAATTTTTTAAAAGGAAAAAAGTAGTAATCAACCGGTTTTATTCTCTAAAATATTGCATAATAACATTTCATTGAATATTTTTTCTCTATATATCTAAATAAACTGTCATTCAATTATTAATTCTCGTGAACCGTTGAATCTGTCTTTCTCGACATACACTGCACAAGTAAAATTATATTTCTTGAAAAAAAAAGTAATATTCAATTTTCTTATAATTATTAAAATAAACTAAGTAGAATGACAAGAGGAAACAAAAGAAATAAAATGTCAAAGATGTTATAGTTCTCTCTCTAAAAACATTACCACGCATAGTTCTATGCATTTTCCCAAGAAATTATTGTGTACATGTTCATTGTAAAAGGAGATATGTACACTAGTTGAATAAAAATTTTTTTTAAATTAATATTCCCCATGCATTTAGTGTTGACTATTTTGTTTTTAATTTGTTTATAAATTGATCTGTTGTGATAAAAGGTAGTTGTAATTAAGAAGTCGATAATAAAAAAGATAGACTATTACAAAAAGGCAGTATTGCACTTTTTTCCATAAGAAAATGAGACCCAAAAAAAAGAAAAAACCTCACTTCAATCTAAACAACTATTGAGGGAGAAATATCTTGTTAAATGCTGGGAGAAATAAATTAAGTTTTAATTTAAAGTAATATATATTTTGACATCGTTCATTTCACTAATTCGAGTCACATATAATTTTTTTTATTATAATAAAAAACTCTCACATCACATCTCAATTCAAATTAAAAATTTAAATCAGGAAATTAAACATGCTCTTTAATTTTAAGAGAACGAAATAAAGTTTTAAATTTTTCAAGGGGCTATATGTAAATTTGATACAAATATATATAGAATTGTGCAACTAAAGAAAGTTGATGGGGGCTTAAATCCCGGGTTTTTATTGATTAGCAAGATAAAAGAAAAAAAAAATCTCGGGTTTTTATTGGTCCAGTCGTTGTTCGAGCATAAGGTAAAAACACGCTCCAACTCTTTTTCGATTAATCTCTAAAAATAATTTGGGTCCGTTTAGTTCGCTGATTCGAGTTTTTAATTCGAGTTGAGATGTGATTTTATGTGAGAGTTTTTTACTGTAGCAAAAAAGTTAGATGTGATTGTTTGTGAGAGCTTTTTACTGTAGTAAAACTCGAATTCTAAACTCGAATCAGCGAAATAAACGGGGCTAAAATATGTAAATGCACCAATCATACCCTTCTTCAGTTATTGTTATTTACCATAATATTTCTGCATGGCCTAACAAAAGAATACAGAATATGCGCCAAGTTTCCAACAGTTTCTACAAAGCACATTTCCGTTTTTTTTTTGGGTTGAAAAAAGACAGTCCAAAAGTACAAATGCAATACGGCAACAATTGGGCAAAACCGTAATTTAAGGAAGACTCTTCAGCCCCACGGAACTTCATAGGATTGGATAATTATTCTTCTTTTGCGCGTCAAAAAAAAAAAAAAAAAAAAGAGAGACAAAAGAGATTATTATCTCGAAAAACCCTAAAACACACACTTCTCTGTTCACTGAAGAAACACCCTAAAACCTCGGCGTCGCTCTTCTTTCTCTCTCCTCTGTTTCTCTCTCATCGTTGCCACGACCGACGGGAGGGCTCGCCGGCCCTCTCTTCGATGATCTCTTCGCGTCGCTTATCTCTCGGTGAGTTCCTCAAACCCTAACCAAACCCCTTGTTTCGATCTAGTCTCTCGTTCAATTTTGACTTTTTTAGTTCTTCTTTTGGTTGAATTTTGGGGAAAATGTTTTGATTTTGACGCTTTTTTCTTCCGTTTCACTTTTTGCTAAGCGTATGTAAATTAGGTTTTCGTTAGGCCTTTCCTCGCTTCTTCTATATGTCGTTCTTCATGATTTGGGTTTGGGATTTGGGTTTGGGATTTGGGCATATTGATGGCGTTATTATTTTTTTTTTGGGTAATATTTTTTGTTCTGACGAGAATTTATGCCAATTTCGCTCGCTTGAGGTCCATTTTGCTAAGATCTGATGAAGGATTTGATGTTTGAACGGTCAAGTCGAACAAATTATCGACGAAAGAGTTCACTGTGGCCAAAAGCAATTTCATTAACTCAAACAGTTATTATTTATTATTTTTTAAGATTGTACCATTGGTTGCTTTTTGCCGAGTTTCGATTGAATTGAAATTTTCCTTTTCTGTTTCAAAAAAATCGGGGGTGGGGGTTTGGTTCAGCAATAGCTGGTTGTTAGTAGTATAGTTAAGCTTCAAGAGAAAAAACAAAAAGAAAGGAAAAAAGAAACAATTTTGATGAAGCTAGGAAAGCCTCTTAATTTGGTAATATCTCTCTCTCTCTCTCTAATTTTTTTTTTGCTATTTTGCAATATCTTTTCCCTCATTGCTGTTATGATATCGTATTTATAGGTTTTCCATATACCTGTGAGTACTTTCGGTGCTACTGCTGTATAACTCTATATTTTTATGAAACCAATTTATTGAACTAACTTTTACTTTCTTGGAAATTTTTATGCAGAGGTGTTCTCTGAAGGAGCAACTTGTTACCCGTGAGCTTGGAAATCTAGACCGTGTTTTAAAGCCCTGTAGTTCCTCACAATGATTGCCACCAAAACCTTACTACCGGAGAAAAAGCTGAAGATTAGATTTACCAGTAAAAGAATAGAATCTGATACTGGGATACGGTCATGCAACGCAGGGCAGCAAGTGTCACTGGGCAATGACTACACAGTGGCAAAAACTTGTGTCCCCAGTGCTAACAAGCGTGGGCCAGAATGGGTGACTGAGGGACCGAAAGAGAAGAAGCAGAAGATTGATCGCAGTGCGATGGTGCAGTGTTCTACAATTCTGAAAAAGCTGATGTCTCATGAAGCTGGTTGGGTTTTCAACACGCCAGTTGATCCTGTTGCATTGAACATTCCTGATTATTTTTCAGTTATCTCTGAACCCATGGACTTGGGCACAGTAAGATCTAAGCTGGAAAAAAATATGTACTCTGGCGTTGAAGAGTTTGCAGCTGATATCAGATTGACGTTTTCCAATGCCATGCTCTATAACCCTCCTGCCAATCATGTTCATCAGATGGCAAAGAAGTTAAACCAGATCTTTGAGATGAGGTGGAAACTTTTGGAGGAAAAGTGTGAAGGTTCAAAGGTTGGTTCAGGAAAATCTTCAAGTGGGAAGATCAAGAAAGTCACTCATATGACAGAAAAGAATGAGAAGACAGATTCCTTGGGTAATAGGTCAGTGCCCAAGAGGCCAATTCTGTCTAAAGAGAAGGTTGGAAGGCGTTCTTTTGAGGCAAGTGATACTGAAGAAGTAAGTGCTGTTCAGGAAATCTGTGATCATATTTGTTTTCATTTTTATGGACATGTATCGAATTGGTATAAAGACATGAAATGTTGTGAGTGCCTTAAATATTTAGTGAATGGTAGGTACGGCATTTAGCACAGCATAATTATATGCTTGATTACAGTTTTTGTTAGAATTTGTCCCTTGATGTTACAAATTTGTTTTCTGTAAGATAAGTTTTCATCGTTGTTTATTATTTTATTGATTTTGACACATTGTTTATATAGGTAGAACATTCTAAAGCACCGTACAACTTCATAGTAAAGTTAAGGAAGAGTGCCGATAAAGGTATGAGTGAGACTTTGCTTGCTGCTTGATGATCTGTAGGCCTATACAGGAACTAATTGGTAATATGTATTGTAGGCACTGATAATATCGGTACACAATCTAGTTGCCCTGTTAATGCAAAACGGCCATCCAGTCCAACTCTCAGGAGATGTGATTCGTGTTGCAGCATTGCATGTGCATGCAGCCTATCTAATGATTCAGCTCATGTTTCTTCAAGTGGTTAGTTGATCTCTTCTTTTCTGCCTCTTTGCTGCTATCTTGTGCTTAAGTGACTCATGGATGCCCTATTAAATATTTGAGCTGTGGATTTGTTCCTCCTCGGTTTAGATATGTCGTCTGACCAATCATTGGGAAGAGATGATCCTGCGTGTAGTGAGGCCTCCAGAATGGTAAGGATTATCCTTTATTTACCTTAGAATTAATGTTAAGAGTTTTATGCATGCTGCAGTACTTAGTTAATAAACTTTGTGGAAATCCAGGATTATCGAACCAAAAGCATGTCTACCTCCCGAATCAGCAATTCTGATCCAGATTCTGATGGTGAGATACCTTTCCATATATATGATGGGGAGTTAGTATTTCTCTTGTATGAAAAAAAAAGAGGAAAAAAAGTGGTGTTAGAGTAGGTAAAGGTTGTTACTTGGTATCTGAGTATTGGCATGGTATTGAAGGGGCATTAAGCGCTTTTGATGAAGAAAACACATGCCGTAGCTCCCAGGTTATTGCTCCTGTGGCAAATGCTGCTTCTAGGGAAGGTCAGTCTACAAACTTTTAATGCCTTACTGAAGTTTTAGTGCTTGTACAATTTTCCGTTGGCAGCCCAGTAACTGAAGTTCCTAGTTGCTTTGTACTTTTAGGTCGGAATACTCCTTTGGATGTTCAATTATCACCGCAAAAGGCGCTCCGTGCTGCAATGCTAAAGTGCCGCTTTGCTGATACTATCTTAAAAGCACAACAGAAAACACTCCTGAATCATGTGAGACCTCTCGTGTTGAGTGAACTAGGTTCTATTAATTCCTTTCTGATTTGAAAAGCTTATAGTGGTTTAGCGTCCTGAATCATTTTTTTTTTTTTTTTTAATACTAGGGTGATAGAAATGATCCAGAGAAGTTGAAGCAGGAGAAGGAAAGGTTGGAAAGGACGCAACGTGAAGGTAATTTTAATTTAATACTATTACAATATAAAGGATAAAAGAAAGATAATGCAGCTTGGCCATTCTTGTACTTTTACTTGTATAATTAAAGTAGTCAAACTTCTTTTGTAATTTATATGATTATTATTATTTTTTTATTGGAAGCTTGTGTTGTGACTTGTAACTTATGATGGTCCAATAGGAGTGAATTATTAGACTCTAGACGAAATTTGTCAATTTGGTTTTTAGCACGTCTCTCAATTTTTATTTATTTTTTTAAAAAATGTCCTCTTTGTTTTTGGAATGAACATCTCTTTGACTGACATTGGGAGTATTATGGTACTAGTCTTCTTTTTTGGAGGGATGAACTAAAATACTGTGATCCAGTGCTGTGTAATTTTGTTAAGTTCCCTACAGTACAACTGTATGGCAGCTTACGAGCAATGCCCCTAATAACTAGTTTGCCCATCCTTTTCCTTGTTGCCAACTTCTATCTAGTTGATATTAAAAATTCTATTTTACAGAGAAAGCAAGGATTGAAGCTCAAATAAGAGCTGCAGAAGCTGCCTCAAGATTGAAGGCTGAAACTGAGCTGAAGCAGCAACGAGAAAGAGAAAGAGAAGCCGCTCGAGTTGCACTTGAGAAGGTTTACATTTTACTTCCATCGTTACTTTTTGCTTTCTCATGTCTTGATGTAATCTTCGAGCTCTGATGAAAATAGTGCTCACGTACGCCCAGATGGAGAAAACCATTGAAATTGGACAAAACCTGGAGGTTCTAAAGGAACTTGAAACGTTGTGTGGGTTCGCTCCATCATATCATCTTCTCAATAGAGACAAGGGCCGTGAAGTATTAATGGTATCTTCTTGGCCGGCCGACATGCGATCTCCATTGGAGGAGCTAGGTCTGTTTATAAAGGACGAATATGTGCGAGATGAGGATGAAACTGAAGAGGCTATTCTGAACGTTGATGGAGAGGAAGGAGAAATTTTTGATAGAGATGTTTAGTCTGCCCTTCTGTTTCATCATCTTGATGGGCGACTTAATAGTTGGTATCTTATATTTGGTCTTGTTTCTTTTTTCCAGCTCAACTTGTTTATATCATTATTATGAGAGGGGGAAAGGGACTTTGTAAATGACGTTTTTGGGCGACTTAATAGGAGTGTCGATGCATGAAATTCTGACCTATCTTTAGGTGCAAAAAAATGTTGAACAATACTTTTAGTGCATTGAAGGGGTTGCATTTTCAATCTGATCGTTAACTATGATGCGGGTCGGGTGTCGATGATTCTAGTGAACAAGAAACAGTTGCGAAAGTGAAGCACTAATTACCTTAACTTCTAATTAGTCAATCTCTGGCACATTTTATTTAAGAATAATCTTGGAACACCAACTCCAATCCCGTCTTTTGTACAAAATCTTACTAAAGTTGAAAAAAAAATTGGATTGAAGCTTGTATCCTTGGTGATATTCCGTCCTTGAAACTAGAGGTACATTTTCTTGGCATAATGATATTGATCAATCAATAAAAGAATCAAGAATAAAATGCTCCACACTGTTGTTCATAGCCAGCAGATCCCATTATCTGTTGTCTAATCTATTTATATCATTATATGGAGCAATCATGATCATTAGTAATCTCACTCTCTTTTATATCATTACATGGAGCAATCATGATCATTAGTAATCTCTCTCTCTCTCTCTCTAAGATCATCTCTTTAGAAAACATCTTGCTTTCCAAGTTTTGTTAAAATCTTTTAACTCGATGAAAATTCCAAATCCAAACACAACTACATTTTACAGGGTGTACTAGATAGAGGCAACCGTATAGAAACCATTCAATGAAGTAGGATGTAGAATAGGACTCGGTATCCAACATTGGATTGTCAAAACTTGGAGGAAGCAAGTTAATCGAACAAATCCATTCCACATTCCTCTAATTCAAAACAGGAAAAAAGAAATGCAAGCAGCAGTTACATTTCCCTCTAGCATCTAGTATAGAATTCTGACGCATCAAAGAAAGCAATTTGGAGTCTTGACATACGGCTCGCAATGGAAAAACAAAAGCCTATACATATCATACTGTGTAACGATTCTTGGCAGCTCTGTCAAGCTTCTTTGCGTCATCCTGCAAAGAACGGAGAAATGTGTTTACTCAGGCGGGATGTCACAACACCGAAGTACATAGTTGCTTATATTATTTTAAAACGAATTCTTACATGAAATATGAATCCTACGGGGTCATTGTAATCAAGGAACTCCTTCCATTGTTTCCCAATGCTCACCTGAAGAAAGAAAAGCGTAATAAGACGTCAGTTTTCAAGCCATACCCAATAATAATAAAAAATAGTTCATTTTAACAACAATTACCTGAGCAGCTTCATTTGTTGCATTCTTGGTCCAAATAGATATCTTTTCCTGCCTGGCTCTGACATTGACAACAGCACCACAAATTTCATCTCCATGATCGAATTGCTCTCCGATCATTGCCAGCAACTGGAAAGAAGGGGAAGAAAAAAAAAATCAGAGGCTGCAGATTCATGATCTAATCAGTATATTACAAATCCACTTCAGAGCATACTGTATACAGCCAATATGTGTCTGACTTCCCCCGTTGAAAGGTCATGGTCCATTTCCCTCCATTAGCACAAACAGGATCCTCCCATTTTGGTTCAATTTTAAATTTGAAGCAATGGAAGTCTGCTCCAACAGCCAATTTGCTTGGATGGTGTATGTTATTGTAAATGCTGAATAATTAAACAGAAAATATGGGAAAAAAATGTTAAGTCATTTCAAGTAAAAAATGGGGGGGTGGAAAGACAAATAGTAGAAGCTTTGAGAGTTTAGAAATGAAAATCCATGGGACAGTAGATAGCAATCAACAGCAGTAGCTCAACAAATGGCCCAAAAACAGTTAAAATAGCCAAAGCTATGCCACTGATGCTTCTATGCAAGGGCTCCAAGAACTGTCCAAAGATTCATTTGAAAATTGAATACCTCAAAGAAAAACAATTCAAATAAAGATGGCCAAAACAGTTTATAAGGTTAATGAAACCATTTCTACAACTGAATATCACCCAAAATGCTTAGAATTTCTGATCAAACATTTCTTGATTAGACAGCCATAAAAGCAACTCCAACATATAGCGAACTGGAGACATTTACCAGCTAAGAATAATCTCAAAATACAACGAAAACTTCTATCATTCATGTTATAGACGCATACACAATCCAACCTCAGAGAATATAAACAAATGAAAACCATAGTCCCCTCCACATGCCTCTAATCTCTGCATTCAAGTTAAAATGAAGTTCCATACAAGCAACAAATGACACTTACATGATTATATCACATCTTTTCTATCATTAGGTGCAACCCAACATGAACATAGGAACAATTTCATTGAATGAATGTTTTAATTCAAGATCCCCAATCTTTGCAAGAGAAAATCATCTACCTCAGAAGTCAGAAAAATCATTAACCGGGAAAAATCAACAAATTACCTAACACTCTACAAGAACAAGATTTAGCAGAAAAAGAATCCAAAATCTTCACTTTTCATTAGTTAATATCCTATTTCGTCATGAAAATCCAATGAACCAACTAACCCTTTCCTTAACCCAAAGCCCAAAGTTTCACTCTTGATTTTCTCAATATTACAACGCCAGTACTTAGATTCTCCTCAACCTTCTTTTAACCAAAACTACTAAAAAGACGCAAACTTTCTCAGCTTCTCATCATTACACCCATTTTCCAATCAACCAAACAAATACAAAAACCAAAGATTCAGTAAACGAACATAAAAGAACGCGAAGAAACACGAAGATCACCTCCAGAATTCCTCGACGGTGGTGAAGGTATAGATCGGGCGAAGGGAGGAACCCCAAGCAGTTTGCTTGGACTTGGCGTTGGGGTTATCGAACCAGAACGTCCATGAATGTTCCAGAAGGTGCGGCTGATGAACTAATCCCTTCGATTGCTTCGAAGAACCCGAATCCTCCTCTCCGACGATCTCTCCCTCTTCCGGCTCGTCGTCTTCCTCGTCTCCGCGACCCCTAGGGTTAGGGTTCGTCGCCTGATTCTCGAGGGCTGACGAAGACTTTGGTGCGTCCTCCACTACCATCTTCGATTTCTTTCTTTCTTTCTTCTTCTTTTTCCCTCACTTTCTCTCGGTTTCTCGCTCTCTTTTTCTTCTTGGCGTTCTTGGGTGAAAACCTGAACGAGATTTTTGGTGGGTACCGCTTAATAGTGTTTATTTGGGCCGGGTAGTATATAGCTTGCCTTATATCTGGGCCGTATTGCTGATTGACAGGCTCAAGCTAGCAATTGTGGGAAGGAAATAATTACATGAGGTTTTTCAGTACATGTTGAAATAAGAAATAATATACAAATTTCAGGAGGTATTTATGAAATTAAGTCAAAAACAATTTACAGAGATTGACACATTCAGGCCATTACTGTATTTAGATTACTAAAGTCTCATTTATTTCACTAATTTAAATATTTAATTTTATATTTATATAGTTAAAAACTCACAAAAAATGTCACATCTAATTTTTTTTGTTACAGTTGAAAATTTAAATCCACAAAGTGAATGAGGCCTAAGAATACCCACCCACTGTGATACCGGCCACAATAATGGCATCCGACCACCATACTGAAGATACCAACAAGTAGATGCTCTTATAGTATTAGCTACCATAATCAATCAAATGTTAGATTTTGACATAACCCAAAAGTCAAATTATAATATTGGCGTAAGATTTATCATTGCATAGTAGATGCTCTTCTATTTGCCGGCAGCCATCAAGTGACCTCCTTTTAAAATTAAGATTATTCTTAGTCTTCGAATTTTAAGCAATGTGATACTTTAGTGCTTAAACTTTTAATTTTAATAGATAACTCAAACTTTTGTTTTTCTAATAATTTGGTCCCTGACACTAAGATTACTAAAGGATTTATGAAATTTAACATAGATAATCACATTAAATAATAGAAAATTATAAATAAATAGCCACCTTAAGTGCAAAATACTCTAATTCTTCATGGATTTTAACAGTGGTGAAGAGAACATTTTGCACATAATATAATTACTTTTGTAAAGTTTCAAGTTATTATGTAATGGATAAGTTGACTACTCTTGTTTAATCTCTATTTTTTTTTAAATTTTAGTTTAAGAGCGTAATACTTAGAATTTAGGGACTAACAATATTAATAATCCATAAAATTAATAGTTGAAGTTTCATTCTGTGGTCCACTAGATGAATGAATCATGAGACATTGTCAAATCTAAAGATGGATACAATGACTTAACCGTGCAAATGGATGAATAATTATTGCACATAAATAATTACTTTTGTAAAGTTTCAAGTTATTATGTAATGGATAAGTTGACTACTGTTGTTTAATCTCTATTTTTTTTTTTAAATTTTAGTTTAAGAGCGTAATACTTAGAGTTTAGGGACTAACAATATTAATAATCCATAAAATTAATAGTTGAAGTTTCATTCCGTGGTCCACTAGATGAATGAATCATGAGACATTGTCAAATCTAAAGATGGATACAATGACTTAACCGTGCAAATGGATGAATAATTATAACAGGGCAAAGGATAAGCTGTGCATGTGGTGTGTCGATAGTTCATTAGATACCAATAAAAAAGGGATCACCAGCTCCCAGACATGGCATCTTATAAACAGTAGAAGGGGACAAAATTGCAATAAAAAGGGCATTAGGTATTTGAATGCCAAGAAAAAAAAAAGTTGAGGATCAATATATAACCTAGGTCAAAGGTCAAGGACCTTTTCTACAAATAAGCTTTTTTCTTTTTTATTTATTATTATTATTATTATTTTATTTATGATGAAATAGCCCTTATGAAGCACATAATGACTTAACGATAAAATTGGACTGGAAAAGGGAAAAAGGACTAACAAACTACAAACTTAACATTAAGGATCTTAATGTGATGAACGAAAAAAGGCATAGGGACCAAAGTACAACATGAGTATAAATTTATGGAACAATGGAAAAAATAAGCCAAGAACATTGTAAAATGCCAAAATAATCAAAATTTTACCTAATTTGCACTAGTTCAATTACCAAAATTAAACACTTTAAGAAGGTAATTTAGTACTCTTAAACATCTTGTAATTAGTTAGAGCTTAGTTGAGTTATTTAAGTTGTTTACTGTACAGTTTATTCAGTAATGAAGAATACATTCATTTCTTCAGAAACCGTCGTTTCCTTATTTTCTTGAAACCTAATATGGTATCAGAGCCTTTTGATTCTGGTGAGAGTGGTTCTTTGTCCGCCATAGCAGAAGCTTCGAATTCCTCTGTTCGTTTCAATCTTGTTTCCTTCAGTCACCCGATTTCTGTTCGGATTGATCATTCTAATTTTCTCCCGTGGAGAAAATTGGCTCTTGCTATGATTCGAGGGCACAAGTTGCCGGATTTCATCTCCGATTCAAATTCTTCGCCAATGAAGTTTCTCAGTGATGCGGATGAAGTCGCAGGACAGGTTAATCAAGATTTCTTGAACTGGGAGCAACAAGATCAGTTGTTGGTGTCCTGGCTTCTTTCTTCCATGACCGAGACGGTTCTTTCTAGGGTTGTCGATTGCGAGACATCAGCACAGGTCTGGTACACTCTAATTCTTTACTATGTTGCTCAGATTCGTGCCAAAATTTCTCAATATAAGACTCAACTCAAAAACATCAAGAAGACTTCTTTGACAATGAATGATTATTTGCTGCAAATTCGTCATTGTGTGAGTATGTTGAATCTTGTTGGGAACCCTGTACCCTCCAAGGAACACCTTGAAGCAATTTTTAAGGGACTATCTTCCGAATATGATATGTTTGTTCTCACTGTGGAAGCTCGGAATGATGCTTTTACGGTTGAAGAAATTGAGTCTCTTATTCTTTCACAAGAGGCTCGAATTGAGAAAAATCATAAATCCCTTGATTTGGCTCAAGCCAACTTGGCTTCTTCTCATTCAAATCAAGGGAACAAGAAAAGGTTCAATTCTGGTTTTTCCCCACAATTTGGGAACAATTCTGGGTTTTCCTCACAATTTGGGAATAATTTTTCTCGTGGGAATTTTCAGTCCCAATCTTTTGGTCATTTTTCATCTCGAGGTGGGGGCAATTCAGGTGGTGGTCAAGGTCGTAACAGTGGAGGTGGTCGTGGTTCTTGGACCTCTAACAGACCACAGTGTCAGCTATGTGGTCGTGTTGGTCATGTTGTCATTAATTGCTATTATCGTTTTGATCATTCTTTTCAAGGGCCCTCTCAGTTTCAAAATGGACAACGATCTTCTCCGAGTCCTGTTGCTAATGTTGCCATCACTTCCAATCCGTTTGTGGACACTAACTCTGTTCAAGCTTTCCTTGCCACTCCAGAAACTGTTGCGGATCCAAGCTGGTATCCCGATTCAGGAGCTTCTAGCCATGTCACTCCTAATACAAACAACCTGGTGGAGATGACAGATTATTTTGGACCTGAACAAGTCTATGTTGGTAATGGTAAGGGTCTTGCTATTAGTCACGTTGGTCAGTCCAGTTTTGCCTCTCCTTATGCATCTAAAATTCTTTCTTTAAAAAATCTTTTACATGTTCCTGAAATTATAAAAAATCTCCTTAGTGTATCTAATTTTGCCCTTGATAATAATGCCTTTTTTGAATTTCATTCTCACAAGTGTTTTGTCAAGGATTAGGTTACCAAAATTGTGCTTCTGGAGGGGAGCCTTAAGAATGGACTGTATGTGTTTGATCAAGATCAAATCAATCTTCCTCAATAGCAGCTGCCTCATCCCATTCGGTTTCCTATTTCTCATGTACATAATTCAATTTCTCATACACATGATCCAATTTCTGTTAATAATACAACAGTCAATATTGCTGTCCATCATTCTTGTCCTATTTTTAAGTTGTGGCATAATCGATTATGCCATCCCTCGGCCAAAATTGTAACCATAGTTCTGAAAAATTGTAACATTTCTCTTAGCAATAAAAGCCCTGCTTCAGTTTGTGTTGCGTGTTGTCTTGGTAAAATTCATAAATCTCCTTTTCTGTTGTCTACTACTTGCTTTAATGCTCCTTTACAATTGGTTCACATTGATTTATGGGGAATGGCACTTGTGCAATCATCTAGTGGCTATAGGTACTATATAAGTTTCATTGATGCCTTCTCTAGATTTACTTGGATCTATATGCTTAGAAACAAGTCAGATGCATTCCAAACCTTCATTAATTTCAAAAACCAGGTTGAATTGCAATTAGGCTCTAAGATTAAGACCATCCAATCTGATTGGGGCGGTGAATATAGGGCTTTCACTGATTTTCTTCTGTCGCATCTCTTGTCCACATATGCATGAGCAAAATGGTGTTGCTGAAAGAAAACACCGTCATATTGTGGAAAATGGTTTAACCTTACTTGCTAAGTCCTCTTTACCTTTAAAATACTGGGATGAAGCTTTTCATACTACTGTTTATCTTTATAATAGGCTTCCTAATTTTGTTTTACAGTTCAAAATTCCTCTTGAAGTGCTATTTCATACTCAACCTGAATTCTCCCAACTGAAAGTGTTTGGTTGTGTCTGCTATCCTTATCTTAGGTCTTACAATAAGCATAAACTTAATTTTTGATCCTCTGAGTGTACATTTCTTAGTTATAGTTTGAATAAAAAAGGGTACAAGTGTCTTGATAAGTCTGACAGGATCTTTGTTTGCAGAGATGTCATCTTTGATGAAGGAGTTTTTCCCTTTTCCACTTCCACGGTATCTTTCACTCATTCTCTTCCTTCCTCTTCCTTGTCTCCAGCCTCTCCGTATGCTCCTGTTATTCCAGTAATTTCTCCTTTCCACTCTCTTCCTTTGTCTCCTGCCCATCCTGTGTCCTCATCTTCTCATAGTCCTCTACAATCACCATCTAGCAGCTCTCTGTCCAGTGACTGATCAGGGTGTCTCTGGTAATGCACCTATTACTATGACTAATGTTCCTTGTGCAGGTTTTATTAATCCTTCTGTGCCTACACCAATGCCACACCAATCATCTCAAAAAGGTCCGCAAGTGATTAACTCTCACCCTATGGGTACTCGCTCAAAGAAGGGTGTTTTCAAGCCCAAAGTGTATATGGCTGCCCAGGAACCGAATTCTGTTCACGATGCTTTAGCTCAAGAACAGTGGCGAGCTGTTATGAATGATGAGTTTTTGGCTCTCATACAGAATGGTACTT